AAAAGAAATTTTTGTAAGTATTTATTATTTCATTTGGCAACAGCAAAAAAAATTTAAATTGTTAGGTATGCAAACGTTTACATTATTTTAAAGTATCTAATTTTACATAGCAAAATACAAGATTTGAGCGAAATTGGTTGAATAGTACTGAGAATTCGAATTTTAAAAAAGTCGTACATTTAAAATTTGATTTCTCAGAAACTATTCAACCAATATCACTCAAATTTTGTATTTTGCCATGTAAAATTACATATATCTTCAAATTCAAAAGTTTTGCAACTGTTATTAAAAAAATAGTAAAAATTTACTACATTTATATTTTGCCTGTAATTATCTTTGGGTAAATGAATTTTAAAATTGAGAGCAAAAAGATTCAATTTGCACAAAAAGTTCTCATGATATAATACCTTTAATAACGCAAAAAATAAAATTAACAAAAAGGGGTCCAAGCTTTGGCGTATTCTCCTGACCTATCATATTTCCCAGATTGCGGCTTCCCCCTATATGTTGGAGTCAGAAATCCGAACCAGTTTAAAAAAAGATAAGTTTATTCAGAGAAAGTACGCTTTTATGTCTGAGCAATCATAACTTAAAATAGCATCTGCACTTATTAATTAGCATATTTGAAAATCTCTCTTCGAACCATTAAGATTGAGTCATAGGACGTGAAGATCCGAACATTAAATCAAAAGTTATTCAGTGTGGTCCGTTTATTTTTCTGCGCACTGAACTAACTAAAGCTCCGGCTCAACTATGGCTACGTTAATTTCATATGCGAGCTTGAAATGAAATATTTATTATACTATTTGTATATGAAATATTTATGCACGCTTTTCAGTTTCAGATTTTAATTTAAGACTTCTATTATAGAAAGGAACATAAAAAAATTATACTATAATCATCAGCTCACACAGAAAATACACATTTAATTCACAGTTGAGTTATTTATTCGTTCTTAAAGAAAAAAATTGAATCTAATAAATCCTCCTTCATTCATTATAAATATATTTTAACGCCGAGAAGAGTCTTTCGACAGCAACTTTGTTGACAAGCAATGCGACAGAAGTTGCTGGAGCCCTGGAGCAGGGGATAATTTTGAGTCCAGGCTCCTGGAAAAAATAATGCTCCGGGTCTTTGCATGGTTAACAAATTGAAAAACGTATTGGAATAAAAAGTTCGAAAATACTCAAAATTCCAAGTTTAGAAAAACGTCACGTTAAAAATACTTAAAATTGATTGTAAAAATTATTTTAAAAATATTTCTAAAAAATAATTTACATAAAATCAATATTTATCACTGAAATGCTTTATTAATTCCACGTTTGAATTCGAAATGCAAATATCTCTAATCATGTTTTTTTTATTTTTTAAAACTCTTAAAAATTCACTTTTTATCTACCAAATGTAGAAGATATTTTCTCATAATTACTTTAAATATCCTCTATTTTTTTCTGTTTGTGTTTTTTTATAATTATGATGCAGAGATCATATGAGATGTAATGCTTTTAGTTGTCGAACGTAACGAACAGGAATTTCGTAGTGGAGGAAATTAAGAAAGAAGTGACTACGTCTTCTCTCTTCTAAGAGGCTTGCCGCGTCATCTAAGGTTCACATATTAAACATTTCAAAAATAAAACTTGTGACGTTTGTTTATCAGGTAAAGTGTAATTTTTTGATGTATCGGTAATATTTTGCTTGTTATAAGTCTTCTAAATACCGGACGGAAATTTGACGCACTCTGTTTAACTCCCGAACACTGCCGAATAATAACATGTATAAAAAACATAAACCATCGAACATTACTTGATTAAAAATACTTCAATTCGCTTCTCAAATATACAAGTTGAAAATGATAGTCGACCTGTTTCAAGCTCTCAAAAATAGGCTCCGGAGACTTTGCCAGACGTAAAGTAAGAAGAAACAATAGTGATTTTAAATATGCATAAAGTTTACCACCGAGAAATGGAAAATAAAGATTGGAAACAAAACTAGAAAAACCTCAGTAGCCCAGGGAAAATAAAGATGTAAAAACAGAACAAGAAAAACCACTTTAGCTGAGATGGGTGAATCAGGGTAAAATTTGATAATTAATTCCATTTTTCATTGGCAGCTTTATGTTTTATATTTAACAGCACTTTTGCTTCTTCTCATTCACTTCTGGCAAGTCTTGAAAATGTGCTGCCTTTTTTAAGGGCTTTGTAACGTATTGACCGTTTTTTCTAATTTGTATATTTTTTAAGTAAATGAAGTAATTTAAACATGTAATATCTTTTCAATTCCGTTTCTTGGGATTTTTTATTTAATAAACCTTTGAAGGCATTTCAAACTTTCCGTGGAGCTATCATTTACTATTGTCTTCTTTCTGAAGAAAAAAATGGAATACTATTATATTAAAATAATTATTCGGCAAGATAGTAAAAAATGCTGATTCAATAATAAAGGATATCAGCTTGAGGACCCAGAAGAAAGAAGAAAAAAACTACTGATTCTAGGATTTTGTAGATTTGTAAAGAAGAAAAAACAGGGTCAGTTCGTTGCCATGGTAACGACACGCCTATCGATTCAATGTTCTTGTAAAGAGCACCTGTTTTGCGTTTGATGGAGCTCCTTTCTTATTAGAAAGCATGGGCTTATAAGACAATTTAAGACAGAGAGTTTTCTTGGAGTAATGGCATTTCATCGAATTCTTATAGACAAGCGGAAAAAGTTAAGAAGTACAATTAAATACGGAAGAAAATTATTTAATGGCTCTATGCTTTATTTTTTTAAATAAAAGATAATTGGAGGAAAAAACTGTGATTCGTAATAAACATATTTTATTTTATTTTTTTAGAGAAAGAAATAACGAGTGTTTAATTGCTGATGAAGACGATATTAAAAATAATATTTTTTTTAAAAAAACCAAGTAGCTTTGGAGGTATTCCAATATTACGTCAGCATCTCACAGACCGATTTTTGTTTATTTTTGCTGACAAGGAGGAAGAAGAGTAAGAGCAATGCTTACGTAAGTGGTTAAAATCCTATTATTTTTCAAAATTTTACTTTAAAAGCAAAATACAAAATTTTAACACAAAGTATTATCCGAGAAAAAATTTCAAATATTGAATGAAAGTTGAATTTGAGAAAATAAAAAATTGAGAAAAAAAATTCTTAAAAGAGTTCCAGAGGTGAAAATAAAGAGGTTTGTGTTCCACAACATAAAGTTACATGCCGGCAGTAGCTTGGTAGGGTCTCCCAAGCCGGACAGGCTGAAGGGTAGGTGCCAGACTAAAATGAGCCAAGATAAACTTCTACCTTTACGGTTCTCAAATTCCTCAGAACAACAGAAGCTGCGATTCACATCCTGCTTATGACTACGTTGAACCAGAATCTTGAGGATCGCTTAACCAAAGAGGGTTGTAGTCATCTGCACCTTCCGCTTCATTCCTTAACTACTCAGAGTAATCTAAGGTTAAATCTAAAATTTCGTCGTAGGAATGGAAGACGCCTTCCTGTCACCTGAAAAAGAACTCGGCTTCGAGTCTGTTCTCAACTGTGACAGGGCCTCACGAATGGTATCTTCAAGGATGGCAAGTGGACACACTAAGAATCTCTCGTTCTTTGAAGGTTTTGCAGTCTGCTCTAAATGTCACGCTTAGCAGGCCTCTGCAGAACACATCTGGGACTGCTTGGGTCTTTGCAGAAAAGACTTATACGCTTCTTCCCTTCTGGTTTTTGATTTTCTGAGAGTTAACGGTCTAATGGATCTTGTCTGACTCCGTCAGACAGTTGGAGAAAAAGCCACAAAAACGACAAAAAAGGAAACACAGAAGATTCCTAAGGAATATTCAACTCAAAATGTTATAAAACGAATTTAAACGAAAATTTTGTTTCATGCTAAGTTAGATATTTTATTTTAGTTTATCCTTAAATTAGATTACTAAAATAAAAGTCAAAATAAAAATTATGTGTGGAATAGAGATTTTTTTATGCAAATATGGGAGGGAGTTGGTGATTTGCTTATTTTTACAAGGGCTAGGGAGAGATTAAAACTGCCTGCTTACATAATATTTGCCCCTTTTTATCATTTCTAACTAAAACAATTCATCCATCAGTCCAGGTGATTTTTCATATGATGACATCACAAATAATTGAACAGTAAAAAAAAAATTCTTCAGGTAATGATATTAATTTAAAATCCTTTACTTTCTTATCCCATAATGGGTAATCCTCATTTCTCAACAAAAACCCCGTTAAAAATATCTCAAATATTCATCCCGTATCAGTCAACTCTGAACAGCCTACTTTTTTTTTATCGATATCGCTGTACTTAGTTACTACTTAAGTTAGGCCTTTGTTTTCGTTAACTTCTACAATACGTTTAAAAAAAGACCCACAGAAACTCCTGAAAAATTTCGAAAAATAATTTTAAAATATTATTTTGCACGTTATAAGCTTATAAGAAAAAAAAAGAAAAAATTAAATTTTGGGGGAAAATTTGGAATATATGGACAATTTAAATTCTAAAATCTTTTCATCATGAATTATGTTGCGATCAAATTAAAGTTAAGGTCAGACAGATAATATTCTGTTATAAGTTAAATATTCTTCTTATAAAAAAAAGATGCAGTAATGAATATTTTTACTAACTTGATTCAAGAAAGATTTTATAATCCTATTGATGTTATGAAAGAATCTATCAGGAACGAATCTATTAGGTGCATCTATCAATATATTTTGTTCATCCATAATTTAACCCATTCTCTAAAAATGAACCTTCCAATAGTTTTATCAGGTAGCAGAAGAGATATAGCTTGCTTTTCAATAATGCTAAGATAAGGATGCTTTTAGATAATATAATGCTAAGATAGAATGCTTTTCAATCACGCAATGCTAAGACAAAAAATAACCCGTGTGCGTATCAAGATTTTATTTGGTAGCTTAGGAAGAGATAACTATTTAATTGTGTATTAATATAGCCAAAGTCTTACAGTTATGTACAGTTTTTTTCCAGATCTTACCTGTTGTTGCGTTAGTGGATTCAGAAGAGTATAATATCAGATGCTGAGTATTGCGTCCATCAGGTGAGCATCTACAAAATAATAATAAAAAATAAACATGACAAATAATAGAAACATAAATAAAACAATTAAAACAGAAAATGTGAATGTTAAAAATTTAAAGCTACTTACTGAGATTGAAATATGAATTATAGATTTATTTTCAATCTACTTATTTAATATCATTATAATTATCCTAATTATTTTTAAGGTGGAAAAGGTAGGGGAAATTTAAAAAACATTTTCCATGTTTTTTTTTCAAAATGGTCACCACTTTTTCGGAAAAAGTTTTATAGATGTTTTTCAAACGCTCTCTTATGGCATGAAATAATGCTTTTTTTACGAAAGCTATTTTCATAACTGCTGTGAGGTCACTTATGACTGTGAAGTCAAGTTTAGCCAATCTTAACCCAGCTCCCTCCTCAATGTTTATTCGAAAATTTGCTCAAAGCCTCGGTATGGAGAAAGCCAGAGTTAGGAAAAAAGGAAGAGCGTTTGTGGTCTAATTTCTTGATACTTAAAAGCTTACTCCAATGCTGCATTATGTGGGCTCATAAAAATTTTCAAAAAGAGAAGAATACGCATTGATTTTGATTATTTTCCTACAGATAAAAAAAAGAACCAAATTGGTGACTTTTAAAAAAAAACTTAGTAAATTCTAAAATATTTAAATCATTTGTAACATCTTAAACTGATAAATATGCGAAAAACTAACACATCTGAAGAATTATCATCGAGGATAATCAGAGTCAGGTAGGATTAAAACAGGAAAGGCAGACAGTAGAAGTTTATTATTCAAAACACCTGTAACAAAATTGGTTAAGATGCTTTTAACCCGCCTGCATAATAATTTTTCATTTTATTTGTTCATGATTAGTCAGATTTTACTGGAAAAAAATTTCAGTTAAATATTAAGCGAATTACGTTAAGTATTTCTTCTTCTGTTTAATCACATTCGTCAAGGGATTTCAATGATACAGCACTATGGACAGTGGCAGACATCCCTAAATAAATTATTTGTAGTTATAAGACGTAATTACGTGCGATATGCATTTTGTAAATTAATCTTCGACGAATATATTTGATTTAAGTTAAAAACACGTTTTACTAGCATAGTGTACATCATGTTAAAGGAAGAGTTGAATTGAACATTAATGAAAGCTTCTCCAGTTAGTTTTGCATTAAATCCCTCATCTAGGGAATTTCATGTCTTAATCGAACATCTTTTCTCATTCGCTGATGCTATTAACACACAAGATGGTTGAACGTGTTCAGCGACATCTGGCAATTATTATCGCTCACAAGGAAGCTATATTCCTTTATGTGGCTCATAAACATGTAAGTTTGATAATAATAAGAAATTTACCCACTTTTACATGCATGATTAAAAATTGAAAAGGTGCAGTGTGGAACTATATTTGCTGTGTAAAACATCTATTTTAAATGAAACACGAAGATATTGTCCCAAAACTGATTAAATCTCTTTTGATCGAAAATCAGATGAAAAGCTTATGGGTTGGACAGATATGAAAGGCTAAAATATGAAAAAAATCTGTATTTTAGTTATTATGCCTTTTAATTTATGAAAGTTACGTAATAATTTAGAGCTAGAAGAATCACAATAATCTTGTTTTTATGTTATTGTTGTTTTTTCTAATAACACTTGCAGAATACCAGCCAGTTTGCTTGGTGAAACCAAGCGAACTTAAGGCAGAAGGTGAGTTTCTTATTTTTCATTGGCGCCATCGATCGCCAAGAACACGACTTCACACACACACACACATGGCACAGCCCGTTTTTTGAAGTGCGTACCCATTTATAAATCTATTTATTCATCCACAGATCGTAAGTTTAGCCTGAACCAGAGCGCGATTCATATCTAATCAATAATTTGCAATAATTTTAATGATGCTTTATTAGAAAGTTTCACAATAATTTTAATGATTATAATTAAAGCAGGAGAAAGAAGCGTCATTGGCCAGAAATATATTGCACACTGATTCTACCAATAAACTTATTTTTAAACTCAGGTATACAATACAACTCCTGCACTGTAAACACAATGGATACTCAAATCTTACGAAACTTTCTTCGTTTTTGACGAAACGATTTCCTGGTATATGTTCGGAATACTTTGTCAAAAGGACGTAATGACTATCGCCACTTCTTGCAGAAATAGATTTCGTCAAAAGTAAAGAAATCTTTCATCGATCTTTCTTATTTTTTTTTTAAAAAAAAGTACGGGTGACTTTGTTGACCAATTTTTTCACAATCACCATACTGGTCACCCTAACAAAAAAGACATTTAGAGCAGAGAGAGATAAACTACATCCATGTCCGATTGGTGATTAAAAGACTTAAAACTACTGCTTCTCCAAACGTAGAAATTCATATTTGTATATTTAAGGAAATCCAATTAATCCATTGTTACAAGTAACATTGAAACGCATATAAATCAAATGTTTTATAAAATGAAATATGAATTTAGATATTAATTTTAAAAAGAGTACCAGCATACAGACAAAGATAAGACTAAAATAAAGAAGTAATCAAGGAACATAATATGTACCCATGTGCAAGGGACTAGGTGGTTTCATGAGGTGGGCCTAGCTGGTGCGATAAAAATTCTGGTTGTTTAGCCGTATTAGGTGAAAGCAAGTAAATAAATGGTTTTTCTCACACTTAGCAGTTTAAAAACCATCGCATTTATGGTTATTTAACTTTTTTGTTTGAATATAGTTAAATAACAATTAAAAAAATTGTTATTTAACTATTTCTTCCGGCAAATTTCTAACAGTGTAAGTTTTCCTTTCAAAGTCGAGAAATGTAGCCTTATATTTTTATGAAAATTTATACAAAGAAAGAAAAGAAAGCAACATAATAGGAACTTTTTTTACCATACAAATATTTATATATATCACATTAAGGTATAGAACTTAAACGGAAAGATTTCTATTCATATTTAGGTATAAAACTACATTGCGGGTACTTTTTTTTATTTCTTAATTCTCTGTCACCTAATTGAGTCTGGACATTGTGCCATTAAACTCCACATTCAGCTCAGCTATTCGAAAGTTGATTAGAAAATCCAATAAAAGAAGTAGACTTCCGTAAATAGCCTGTAACTAAAAGTTACTTCATCGAATGTGGACGTGACCGTTGATTTCGATTTCCTCCTTTCGTCGGCCAAAAGCAGACGATTCTAATGAAAGAAAAAGAACTTCGATTACTACTTCAATTTAGCCTCGTGTAATCATCTCTCTTTTTTCTTTTCTTTTTTTTTCAATCTCGTTTAATATTGTTATACACTATTGTAACAGACAGCCTTTGGCCATAACCATTTCGGCCATGAACTTCACAGGCGATTATGTATATCAAAAAAGAAAACGTCTCTTTATTTTGATGGATAATTAGTTAGCTGAGTTTGGCAACAGCTAATGAGAAAAAGTTAACTTTCTCACTTTAATTCTTTATTCGTTTGGAGTTCAAACATTCTAAATTCAATTTTAGGTGAGATGCGGTAATTGAATTTGGGCTCTTGAAAGTTCTTTACTTTATGCTGATTAACCAGAAGTCTTCAAGCAAATTGGAACTTTTTTTCCAAATCGTTTGCTGTGAAGTGATTGACGATTAGAAACAGATTTCCTTCCTGAGAACTGATAAAAAAAATTCTTTCAGAATTGATTCTGAAGTAAGGAAATTAATTTGTTAATCAGAGTTTTAAAAAAAACCCTCTTGGGAATGCTCGCTAATAGGTAAATCAGCTTTTTCTCCTTGTTCGAATAATGAGCTCAACATCAAGCTGTTGATCATTTAGTCGTAACTTAGAAAGAATTCAGTACCTTTGTCTTACATTAAATGAACTAGAAAAATATTTAAGATACATTCTTTTAAAAACTTTTCTGCATTGTTAAGTTTTTAGCAAAAAAAAAAAAGAACTTAATACTTAATTGCACAATATATAAACTATTGTTTATAATGGGAAAATAAAACAAATATCATTTAATAAAATATATAACTATATAATATTTATGAGTATTGTATATATCTATAACAATTTAATTATATTTAGTAGTAAATATATAATTTCAGTTCTACTAGCTTGCAAATATATAATATAATGTTATATTTCAATATATAATATTAAATATCAAGTTATTTCGATATATAATATTATATTTCAAGTTAAATAGATTTTTTTTATTTGATGATAGCTCAATTATTCAGTTTAAAATACATAATTATATTACAGTTGGTAATATTGTAAAATACCTCTTTGTTTTAATTAAGATTAATAGATATTATTTTATTAGCATCAAGTCAGATATAAATAATTAAAGTTCTAAAATATTGATATTTCCCCTGAAGTTTCACTGAATTTTTTATTGAAGTTATTTTTAGTTCTAAGTATATAATATATTAGATTTAGCCGTATTATTTATTTAAATTACATATTATTATAAATACATTTTTATTTAATTATAAATACACCCCTGCATTTCCAATAGCTAGCAAAAATATGATTTTACTTAAAAAAAATTTTAAATTAGCTTTTTAAATTGTGAAGTAGAGTTATTAAGCTACCACTAGAGTTTTTAGATAAATACTTTCTTTTAAAGCAATTTCCAACTATTATTATTTAATATAATTTAATTATTTATCTTTTAAGAGGCTAGAAAACCTTCTAGATTTCTTTAAATAATGTTATTATCTACAAACAAATAATATTTAATAACCAAAATATATTTTTATATATTTATCTGATGTATCTAACATAATTGTTTGTTAATTAGCATTAAAGAAAAACAACTGTAATGAAATACTGAAAAAAAGTGAAGGTAAAAAAACGTAATCAAATTTAAAAACGTGAAAAGAACGTGAAGGTAAAGAAACGTAATTAAATTAAAAAACGTGAAAAAAACGTAAAATTTACTGACAAAGACGTGTTGGCAAGTTTTAGACGGTTTCAACCACAGATAAACCCTTTTTTGATCTGAAAACTTCCCAAGTAAAAAATTGGTTTTTGACGTCA